GTGAATTTTTTTTTGTTATTTTAAGTTTAAATACTCGTATAGATATTTTGGTAAGCGCTACAGAGTACAGTTAAATATCGTATCTGTAATTTATTTGTTAGTTTGTAGGCGATGCGACCACGTCATGCCAAGCACGACAACAGTGGGGTGGGAAAAGAAAATATTTGTTCATGGCTTCATTACAGGATTACAATATGCATCTGTAAAGGATCACAATATGTAGATGTAAAAACACGCACGTATAGTTCATCATCCACTAACACGTCCCTACTCACGCATGCCGATGTAAGCGGTCATGTATACACGTGCACGAGATCAGCTAGTGACACACAGCCGAATAGATGTATTCTGCAACATGTTCCACGAGAGGGAAGCACTGTACAGCAATTTTGCTGCTAGCCAGTATACATGGCTTCCTTGCGCTATCATAACTTCTATATTTTTATCACCATACATCACTATCGTAATCGTGTAATTTCTGATTTAGTATCCATCATTTTGTCCCGGGATACGTAAATAGGCTTTAATTATATTGAAGTATACGTACAACACATATACCCAACCTAGTTGTGCTTATATATGTTTTTCAGGGCTGAATCTTTGACCCAATATTACCCGACTATTACTTGTAATCTGCTCACCGTTTCTACTTTCCCTGTGATGCAATTTCACAGATAATTAAAAGTTCGACAAAACACCGACGACTGTAAAATTCGTAAATTATTAGACTAAAAAATCGTTCATGATAAAACCGAAATGGTACGCTCACTGGTATATGATAATTGATCGGCAGTCATTTTAAAATAAAAGTTTCATTAGAGAAACTTTACTACACAAATAATAACATATAAACTAGATGAGTATTAATTCGGCATATTATATTACTGGTTAGGCGGGATACTATAGTTGTCTTTGCACAGAGAACAAACGTGAGAATTCTAACAGCAGGGCGTGCATGCTTCATGGTGCGCCCTGAGACAGGATCGATGGAAACTGGGTCAAATTGGGTCATAGATTGAAAGTCATAACAGTTTTCGGAATAGTGCAATCTACGGACTGAACTTGAACTTGATATATGGATATTTGCTCATTGAATTCAGTACACATCTATTGTTGCATACATTTGCCAGTTTCATCAGTTACACCATCAGTGGCGTAGAGAGGTCCTCAGTTGTTGGGGGGGGGGGGGATGACTTCGCTGTTACATCGCAAAGTATACGAAGAGTGTGCGCGAGTAGCGCACACCGCGAGCGCCCTAGCGCGAAGGACTTAACGGGTCGGGTCCAGGGGGCCGTCCTAGGGCCCCTGGTGATCTCACCAGGGGCAGAGCTCTTGCCCGGGGTCCAGGGGGCAGAGACCCCGGAAGCTCTTGGATTTTAGCAATTTAGAACCTTCAAGATAGCCGTTTTTGAGGGAATTAAACAAAATTAAAATTGCAAGTGCAATGTTTGTGAATTCTAAGGTTATTTTTTTCTTTGGATCCCAGAGATTTAATACAACGAGGTCAACCCCCCACCCACACAACACGCCAGCCACACAGGTATCATTAACTAAGAGAAATATTACCTTTAATGATTGAAGCCTAAATAATACTGATCATCAACTGTCCAATATTGATTCTTAAAGATAATGATTGAAATTCAATTAAGTAATCTTCGCCGCATTTCATAGTTTATCTAAAGATAATATTGAACATTAAAGTTAATGGTACTTCGCCGCATTTAAAGTTTGATTCTTAAAGATAATGATTGAACATTAAAGTTATGGTAATTTCGCCCGCATTTAATAGTTGATTCTTAAAGATAAGATTGGAACATTAAATAATGGTAAATCGCGGCCGCATTAATATTTGATTCTTACAGAGTAAATGATTGCACATTAAAGTTAATGAATTCGCCGCCGCCATTTCTAATATCTGCATACTAAATTAAGATCAAATCACTCACTTCATAATCGATTCTTAAATAAGTACTCCAACATACACAGATCACCAATAAAATTTGCCAGCGCGAATCGACGTCCAGAAATGCAGTTCGACCAGACACCGACGCCGTGTATTTTACCGTATCACGCTCACTGCCGACAGTAGTCCAGTACACAGTTAACCTGGCAATATGCACAGTTATTATGTAACAACGTAGACGAACTCGGCTATCTTATAACACAAGCCCAACATACCGTTTATGGGTGGTGGCGATTTACGCATTAATTAGTCGTACGGAAAAAATATCACGCCCCCCGACCCTCCCGATTATTTCTTCATCACTGATATTATCCACTTGTTGTGAATCACACCGTTATTGAATTTTGGCCCGCGCAAAAATTTAATGTATCTGCATGGTTCCACCAAATATCTTCACATATTTCCAAAAATGGTGTCTCTAATGTTGAGCCAAACTTAGTAATCAAAGAATAATGACACACAGACTTAAGATTAAGCCATAAAATTGTCTGTGATCCTATTTCAGGTTGAAGGTGAGCATTAACTTGTGATCAAAGATGATGACAAACGAAATAATATTTTAACATTATTAAGAGTTCGACATTATCTCCAGTGATTCTTAACCTCTTTAATATTGACTATTAAGTTCATCGATCATTCGAGATGAATTAAGATCAATGCCCAAGTGATAGTAAAAATAAGTTAATACTCGCACTCTTAACTTAATGATCTCATTATTAAGTAAATAATTCTACTATAAAAGTTAATGATACTTTCCTGGGATGGTGGATCCATATGTGGAATTTCTATGGGGGGGGCTAATCACGTGAGTCTCAAGGGCAATGTAAGCGCCCGAGAGAGGGGTGTTGGAGGAGGTTACCCCCCCACTGTGTGCGAATGTTAAAAAGTTTGCAATCTAAAAGCAATCAATTTGGACTCTTTCATATAAACTATCAGAAGCGGTTTCCTCCTCAGGGGTGTCCCGCTCCTGTTAGGGAAGGGGGGGGTCCGGGGGACCTCCCTCCAGAAATTATTGTTGAAATATACACTGCTTCGATGCAATTTCTTGCACTTCGGAGGCAACATTACTTAAACAACTCATCACAATAATATCACTGTGCAGGGACGTAAATCACACGAGGAGTGGGAGCGAGATCGGCGATAGCGCGGGCGAAATAACCTTGGCTGCCGCAGGCAGGGCCTGCGGCCGTAAGGCATTGCCAGTAGCTAGGGGTCTGGAGCATGCCCCCCAAAAATTGAAATATTTAAGCCATTTTTCCTGCAATCCTTGAGCATACTGGCCATATTCTCATTCCTGATGACCCTATCTCAACCCTAGACTCAACCCTTACAAGTTAGATTAAAAACACTTTTTTCATGATTTTCAGAGAGCGACACAGTAGGTTACATAATATATAGTAATATACATGTATTAAAACACAGGTAAGCATGCAAGTTTCTCAGCAATATTCACGTTTTTTGTATGTTCGGTCACCATACTTTGTGGCCTATTCTTTATTTTTTTTTATTTTTGAATCTCAGGAGGGATATTGTTACAGCTATCCCACCCTCCTCAAGAGCGGGGGATGCATCCCCCCCACGGGATTACGCCCCTGCACTGTTGAGTTTAGTATTTTTTATCTTTGGGGAACACCAAAGACTAAAATACTACTAACTAAATTGTGCTATGATACATGTCCCTCACATAGGGTTACCGTGGCAGATTTACCATAGCAAAATACCCTTGCCCTAAAATTCTAGTAAGGTGCGACGCCCCTGTGCTAACGACGCGCCCACTGACAGACTACACAGCCTGGACATTCTCCCCCCTGAATTTTTGATAAAACGTATATTTTACTAAGAAACGCTAAAATTGTGCAAAAAAGTATGACAAAAACAACCAGATTTATACCAAAAAGAGCATATGAAAAACCCCTTATAGAAAATCGGGAATATATACTTCCGGTCGGCTCTCAGCACCCCCAGTGCCCCCCCAAAAAGTGCTGATGGAAATTTGAAATTTCCCATCTAATCACCCGTGAACATCAATATCGATATTGCGGAAATGCGTTCTAAAAATTAACGTCGATTTTCAGTAAAATAATGTCATTCTTGAACCGTTACAGACATCTACGTGTATGGTCACTTTGCCATTTGTTAGTAATACTTAGAGAGACGTGGAAGCGATAGCACTGGTGTATCCATATGCCATATGAGAGCATATTATAATGATAGAAAAAAGAATAATATTATATAGAATATATAATATATATAATAATCTATATCATATTATAATGCTGTATTCTATAGTGGTTATTATAGCCAAATATTTACATTATGTCATAACTAACAAATAAGAAAAATAGCAAATATATTATTTGTATCAAAATTCTAAGATGTTTTTTATTTTCAATTCTAAAAAGTTTTAACCTATTCTTTAAACAAATCAAGAGTTAAAGACAGTACCTCTAGTTCTAGGTTATTTTCAGCTAATTTAGGGTTAAATTGCCGGCTACAAAAACGATTCATTGGTTCAATCACCATTAGAAATTTAAAAAATGCTTTAAAACTAACGACTACAGTTTGATTACAACGACGGTGGCGCCACTCAAAACGCACGATTGAGAAGTTGCCAAAACCACTTCCCCCAGCCAAGGGCTACGACCGGAGGTATTCTTATATTATTCATTAAAAGCAAAAGGATTGTTACATATCTATAAAACGACATATATTTCAGTAAATATGAGATAAATTTGCCCTAAAATGAATATCGTTCGGTTAAATAGCATTTTAGCGTATAATATAATTTGCACTTTTGTTGATTTAGCCCTCGGTCCATGTTACCTGGCAAAATAAAAATGCAAATACGCAACTTTTTCAGGGTGGCAGCACGGTCGCGGGTGTCATGGCGCCGTTCAAATTCGTAGCGTTGACTGTGAAATAATTAATTAAGTTCTGTGACAAATACGGGTGTAGAAGATTTGTTATACAGTAAGTACAGTTGTATGCAGTAAAATCCTAGAGGCTACTGTCCCTTTAAGTTGCACCAGAAGCAACGCAAAGCGCCAAAAGATGGCGCCACAGAGTCACAAATAACCGGAATGCAATCAATGATTTCAATCAGGTCGGAATAACAACAACAGCAACAAACATCGTTTGAATTTGCCAGGAACGTACGGGCAAATTTTCCAATGAATGAAGGTAAGGACTGACATATTATTTTATCAAGGATCAATCCATAGTTATGATATTATAATTATATATCACCTAATAGACCTAATATCGCTTAGATACAATGTCAATAATATACAACGCGTCGCTATGGTTTTCTGTGGAGGAAATTCAGGGAACCCCGGAGTGAATCACTCAGGGCGGTTTGCTGGTGCGTTTTCAGAGACTAGAACTTCCAAACTGGGTTTATTCTCAACACGAACCTTTCTCCGCTATCTTGGAACTTACTATGTATCACAATACTCTGTATTAAACTAATATAACCTGTTACAAAAATTCGAAGTGACGAGCGGCGGATAGTTCGAGCGCCATTTCTATTGACGTGTAACGTACCACGTGGTCGGTGAATCTGCTCTTCAAACCGATATCCTATATTATCTTACTCCTGCTAGTACTAATACTATATAGTATAGTACTAGAGCTAGTAGTCCGCAAATGCAGACGTTATAACTCCGCTTTGCTAATCTGAGGGTGCGGGTTTATCATCACCCCCATTACTGGGGTCTGCGTCGGCTCGGACTATAGAGCTAGTACTATTACTAGCTCCAACAAACGGTCTTTGCTAGGGTTAGAATACCCCTATACTATTACTAGACAACCCCTGCTTATATAGCAAGCAATTTATTTACTCTAGCTAGTTCCTCATACTGACAATGACAATGGCAGTGGGGCATTAGTCTGAGCCGACGCAGACCCCAGTAATGGGGGTGATGATAAACCCGCACCCTCAGATTAGCAAAGCGGAGTTATAACATCTGAATTTGCGGACAAGGGTTGCATATGATATAAGGCAAGATCACATAGATGATAGAGATGCCAGATAATGTATTAATTGTTTATATTGTAGCGTTTCGTGCTTTCCGGCGACACCCGATGGCGTCACCAGTCCACACTAAAATGGCTAGCTCACAACCTTAGGTATATCACTCACCCGTTGTGCCCGGAGACGTTGTACTGGCCGTGATCGTCGCCTCCCGGACCCCGCTAGCCACTCGAGCGCTTCGAAGCTACTGCGCTCCCGCAATAACCTGTTCTGCCGTGTTCCGGTTCGGTGCGTCGTAGCGTTAGTCAACCATGCCAGACGAGGGGCATCACACACCACAACGGGGGAACCCCACCCCCGTCTGCCGGCCTTATACGTTACGTTGAATAACGAGTGCACACCCCGGGTAAGCACAGAGGTTAAACAAGTAGAATAAACTACGAACGCAGCCGGGCATAGGCCTACAGTAACCGGCGGCCTCTCCTCTCGTGCAGCCGTGCACGAGAGTTAATACTTCTCAATACCCGCACTCTAGCCTAGGAATATTAAACCAACCTGTTTAATATTCGACTACTAATAGTACTGTATTATTCACGCACCCCACAACGACAAGGACAATACGACAGTGCCTACTCACCAATTAACCGACGCGCCTGTCTCTCTCACCCATGAGGCAAGGCACACGCCAAACGCCCGTGACCGGTACAGTACCTCACCACTGGTGCTCGTACGCTAATTGTCACCATAACCCGCCACACACACAGCTCACAGGCCACTCCACAACATGCATACGCACAGAGTGGACGTGGCTACTACCTGACGAGTCCTTCCTCACTCGGCTACCAGGACGAACTGCAACACTAGTCCTCCCTCAACCGATTCCCGCCTAGAACTACCGTGTGTCCACACGGCACTGGCCTAGCTGTTTACACGGCCAGCGCCACTCACGGCCGCTGGAGGGAGTGGCTAACCCAACATGGCTGCCCCCATGCAGGGACTCGACTATCTACATCGTTAATTGATGAGCCGGCAAAACAACACGAAAACGCACACTAATAAACAGCAGACATCACAAATAATTATACAGTCACAAACACAGATCACCCACACTCTGGTTCCCAGTGAGCCACCCTGCTAGGAACCCGAGGGTCCGGTGCCACCGCTACAATATATAGAAAAAGAAGCTGTCAGGAAATCATTAGATACTATATATAATGCTAATGAAGTAAGGTGTATTGAAATGCTGCACTTTCGCCTTACTGCTGTCATCGAAAATCGGAAATCAAAATACTAACTCGTTCGTACACTCAGGATACCACTGGCACAATGCTAGCACTATTTTTAAAGTGGGCGGAGCTCCGGGGAAATGCAGCGAATGCCCATTCTTAAACAGCGTATGATTTGAAAGAGGTAACTGGGCGCACAATCCGCGTACTATTTCGTATCACTATTTTATGAAATTGTCCATTAAATAATGGTCCGATTTGTATTATGTTTGCAACTTTTTATGTTTGCAACTTATAGTGAAAACGCCTAAGACCACACGCAAATGGAACCACGGAGAAATCAAAAGCTTCCCTCTCGCCCCCGCTCCCATCTGTACGACCCCCCTATCTAAGTCGCGAGTTCCTCCCACGTCCCAAATGTCTGCCCTCTGTGTCCCCCGCTAAAATTCCGGACTGTTCGCTGGCAGCTATGGATGCGTGCGCCGGCCTATGGATTCGGCGCACGGATACAATAATGTAACCCAAACACAGGATAGGGTCTTGTCCTATCCTGTGTTTGGGTTACATTATTGTATCTAGGTGATGTCATGTAATGGTGCTGTTTAAAATCTGTTTTGTATGGGCCAGGCGGGGAGCGGGGGCACATTTGCGAAAATAATAGGCTGGGGGGGCCTGGGCCTAGTTTAGGCTTTATCCCGGATTAGTTTAGCACATATATGCAAAACACAGTTCCAGGGTCCCAAACTATCCTTGAGCCGGCCGGCCAGCGAAATTTTTTTCCCCACTTGGACCACAGCCAATCAGCGCACTCCATTCAATCGACTTCCTCGAAGCAACAATGTAAAATGAATACTCCCTATCACTAACCCGAACCCGAACTCGAACCCTAACACTAACTATAATCCAACCATATATATACGAACCATATATCACAAAACACTATCTATGGTGGGTCCGGAACTCAAGTGGGGAAAAAAAATTCCCGGCCGGCCAGGCCCCCCAACTAGGATTGTGCAGGCGGAGCACTGGTAGCACTGTCTATGGCTGGACT